CCCCCCCCCCCCCCCCCCCCCATTGAGGAACCATGGAATTCTCCAGGGGTAAGTTATAAAAATTGAGGATTTCTTTAGCAGTAGAGTTAAAAAAATATATTGAATTCTCTGGGGGTGAAGCTTTAATTTTCATGGAATTCTTCATGGGTAGTACCCATATTCTTCAGGGATAAGCCCACATTTTATGGAAGTCTTTAGGGGTGAACGTAATTTTAGCCAATCTTCACGGGTAAGAAGAAAAGGTTAGTCCTCAACCGAGCAAGATGCAGGGTAGGGGGGTGGGGGGGGGTATGGATATTAAATACACTATCACAATTATGATCACCCATTGAAGGGAAAGTGCTTTGGTCTTTTGACAGTAACCGGTCAAGTCGCCTGAAAGTTGTGTCCATAGAGACCAGAGTTTTACCGGCTGTAAGTCCCCTGAAATGCCGAGTCATGTCACCCGAATATTTTCAGGTGAAGTGCACAGAGAAACAAAGTTAATTTCTGTTAAATAAAGAGTGTATGTTAATATATCTTTTTCCTTAAACCATCATGAGACGAAACAAGCGGAATGAATGTGTAACATATCTCATTCTTTAGCGATAATGAGACAAATCAAGCGGTATAAATGTGTAATATATCTTGCTGTTTAACCCTTGATTAACAACAAAACAAATGCGGTATATGAGTAATGTATCTCATTCTATAATCGATGAGACGAAAAAAGTGCGCAAAGGTAATAGGGATGTTAGGATAATGTTGAGCATGATAAAATTTCGAGCCTGGTTTTAACTTAGCGTTTAGGGCGACTTGACTAAACGTATTGGGTGACATAACTGTGATTTTGGGTGACACAACTTCGGGTGAGATGACTTTTGGACGACCTGACCATAAACCGTTTCAACTAATTCTTTAAGGACGTCCGTCTGACATTTTTTTGTGGAAAAACCCCGAATGTCCCAATCATGGTATTTGATTTGACACTTGTAAAGGACAAGTCAATCAGTTCATATTTACTTCGAACCTTTTTGACTTCTATGTACATGTACATGGGGAGTGACGGGTAAAAATAATATATCATTATCTGACACTATTATTTTCATTAATGTAATTATTTTATTAGCTCAAGTGGGCAGCTTGGGCAGCAGTCTTCTGTTCTTTCATCACATTTTCCAATTCACGCTCATCTGAGGATACCAAACAGATGTTTAGCAGTTTTTTGTAAGTAGTAAGATCACCTTTTAATTTAATTATTGTTATTGTTACTTTTATAATTCAATAACAGAATGAGCAGTTGACAAATTTCTCTTCACACTCTAGTCTGCCACACTGATTTCAAATTTTAGTTTTGAAGGTTCATTTGAATAATCCCTCTAGCCTGCTAAAAGCAGGTGATTCTTTTTTAGGGTGTTTTTGTTCATAAAGTACGGAATACAGTGGCCCCAAGTGGCTTTTTGCAACTGTAACTTTTACTTTCTAAACAACAAACAAAAAACACATAAAAAAAACCCTGCTTTTTTTGTTTAGTTTCTGTAAACAAGAAAATAGTTAATTATAGAAAAATGATTTTAGAAGAAACTGAAAGAGCATTTTAAAATTAAATAACTTGGAAATTTTCCCAATTCTTCAAATACAGTACGTGGGAAATCAAACAGTTAGTGATTTCGTTTGGCTCAATTGTTTTTCCCATGAAAGTAACTGGGGGTGGCCTTTATCATAGCTAAGGGAAATCCCCTCCAATTCTCCCAACCCAAACCAAGCCACCCCCCCCCCTCCCCCACAGCCACAAATTATCCCCAGATGTACACTTGTACTTTGTGCTAGAAATTAATAAAGTAATAATAATAATGATAAAAATGTAAATAGCTATCTTTGTCTCATATTTGATTTCAGATTATCTGTGTCAGCAGTTGTAATGTCATATCTACAGAATCCACAGCCAATGGCTGCAACATGGTAGCATGTGGGCAGTAAACAGTCAGTTACCTCAATAAACATTTCAACAGTCAATGTGATTCCACATGTATGTTATCATTTGTTAGAACCTTAAGTGTTTTTATGAAGTTGTGAATTTCAAAGTATCCTTGGCTATTTCAGGGTTCCAAGTTAACTTTTAAGTGCACTTGCAAAGTTTTGCCAGTAAGATTTTTTTTCCACTAGCAAACTGGTGAGACTACTAGCAAATTATTTCCCTTTGTTTGGAAGTCATGGATGATTCTAACTTGCCAACGTTTGCTAGTGGACATTTTTTTCACTCGCAGATTATGAAAATCTCTCGCATTTTGTGAGCTTGTGAACATTAATTTCGAGCCTTGCAAGTTCTGATTATACCCTGCAAGCAGTGGTTTCTCTGGAGAAACCACTGCTCGCAGGGTATTCTGATTTTTGAATTAGCTTACATGTTATTGTCGCCAAGGTAGAGTGCAAGAATACAAGTTGAGTTATTTAATGGTCAGTCTATACTTGTCGATTATTGTCCACAGAATTTATTGAACTACATGTAAAAGAACCATTGTATACAAAATAATGTTTGCATGTCTTCCTTTTCTTTTCCTGGGGTGTTGTATGGGCCCATATGTACAAACACCTTTTCATTATTTTGTGCTACGTTTGTTATCTCGTTCTTGCAATATTTGATAGTTAAACTAAGTCATAATAATTATCTAGGACTGGATTGTGTGATTGCAGTCTGCAATTTTGCATCCTCTTATAAACTGCTATTGCTTCGCGTATGATCACACACACAGAAAGTCTAGACAGTCATTCATCTCTGTCCTCGATTGCATCAAAGATTGATCACTTCAGAAGTGTTAAAACACAAACTGAAGTTTTCGTTCAATATCAGTTTCTTTCCTAATGTTGTTATCTGTAACGGAAGTCTTTATCTTATTCTACGTCTTCTCATTCGCTAAGAGCCTTTTCACCCTAAAGGGAAGTAATTGTTAAAGTTATACATTGTGTACTTTCCTTTCGTTATTGCCGCTCCCCGTGTTCACCATTTTCTTTTTATGCCCTGGGCATTACAGCTTTCCCTAGAGAATT